ATAGAGTCCACTAGTATTTAATATTAGCCTGTACTGGCTCAGTAAAATGTGACCTCCAGATCAGTAAAATTAGGGGTGCTGGAAGAGCTGCATAGAGTCCACTAGTATTTAATATTAGCCTGTACTGGCTCAATAAAATGTGACCTCCAGATCAGTAAATTTAGGGGTGCTGGAAGAGCTGCAAAGAGTCCACTAGTATTTAATATTAGCCCCAAAAAAGCGGTCCTGGTCGAGCCTTGGCTTTAACGAGTTGGAAGCAACCAGAGAGATGGTTAGATGTATAAATTTGGGGATTGAAGTGGTTTGCAATAACCAGAGAGATGTTAAACAAATTGAACAACAGGTTGAACAAAAAAGCATGTGTAAAAAGTTATCGAGTGATAAAATAGGACAAAGGAGAAAGCATAGATATGATCTTAGGCAGCTAGACGCCAGCTAGCTCATCGCGGTGTCACATGACTTTAATACCACGATATCATTGGTCATCTATATATCCAATGCGAAATATAAATATAGCGCGTTTTTCATGAATTAGTAGCGCCGTACAAAAATTAAGCAGTTTGGAACAAAATTACAAGTTTTCAGTTTACAGAAATATTGAAACATTTCAATTTTTGTTTGCATGAAGGTTCTAATGACTTAATAAAGTCGTTTAGATAATAAAAATACTACAAAGATACCAAGTAAACTCACAAATATTGCAACTTGGTTAAAAACAATGCATTTAACTGTTTTGGTGGCGCGCGCGCGCCATCTCAGTCAATTACTCCCATATTTGGTCAAATAGGATAATAGGGACGCAGAATATGCGTCCCTCTAAAAAGTCCGATTCCCTTCATGGTATGCCCCTTTTTCCGCCTTCGGCGGCGCGCGCTTCGCGCGCGAAAAGTGGCATGCAACGTATGTCAACGTAGCACTTGCTAATATTTCGCGCTAGTATCGTCCGTCAATGCATGAGTGCGCGGCCACATCATGGTTTTCTCCACGGTACTTATTAAATGAAGATCACGATGTGAGAAAAATAACTCCTAATACATAATATAACCAGTACGGGGAGGGGATTTAATAACATTAACGGGTGATACCCTTAAAATATTTGTTTCAAACCGTCGAAGATTCCAACTCGGCGCGCGTCTTGGTAGGTTATAAACCAACAAGGGGGGACCAGTACTGTGCAGTGTGAAACCATGAAGCCCTTAACGCGGGGGACTCGAAAGTCAAAACCCCGGTTTACAACCAGTACCGGGGCGCGCGCAGAGTTGGACTCACCGACGTTCCATATTCATGACCATGTTATCATAGTATCACCCGTTAATATTTTCCTTTCCCCTAACTGAGCGGTAAATCGGAGTTTTACTGTCCCTGATGTACCTCTTTCCAAAATCCACCTTTTCACTATTGTCCAATGTCTATTCGTAACTACCGTTTATTTTTTAAAGTGGTGGATGATAAATACTAATAGTGTAATCGTTAATTGAACAAATAAAACTTCTTATTGTATTTTATCCAAGGCTATTTCAAGGATTTTGCTTGTTTCATGTATTAAGGGTCGACCAAAATCAGGAAGTGTGGTTAAAATAATGATTATCAACTTGATAACACTAAGTACTAAGTAATGTAGTGTTATTTAATTAGGTAACTCATCCAACATATGATACTGTTTCAAATCATGCCACATCACACTGAATATTCAACAGTAAACACTTATAATTGACACGGGTCAATTTGCATTGCAGAAAAAAACAACATGCAACAAAATTGGCACCATTCCTGATTCGTTGAAGACTAACTCTCAGACTCGTTCGGTATTAACAATATCTTATCATCGAATAAACATCGATATCTCTAATAGATCTACAAGTCAGGTTCTTATGTTACTATTGCTCGCATATAATAATAAGTACCCACTTTTGATAGACTTTTAAGAAATCGATGTTAACTCGATGATTCAGAATACCAAAGAGGTCCTTAAACAACGTTAAATATGTACAATACGGGTAACTGTTTAAGTAATCTAAAATAGCTAGATAAAAATTCCACAGATTGGTTGGAATAAATTTCGTTCCTCGGGGGAGACATACAATTTGGCATTAAACTTTCCCGAGCAATTTCAACACATTTCAAAATGCCTCGAATAGTTCTATAAAAACAGCAAGTTAAATAGGAATCGGCAGATCATTTTTATTAAAATAAATTGAAACAATCGCGAGCCTACTCTTCTTTAGATTAGAAAAAGAGAAACTTGCACGCTATAATACTATTCAACAATATACTAATTACCATTCCAACGACGATAATATTTCTACAACATTCAGCACACATGAAACTAGTGCCACCTAAAATAGTGTCAGTTCTTGTAGTCTTCTCTACATTTATTACTTTCTCGAAATCTTTAATTCTCTTCTTACACTTCTAGAAAGTGTTTTTACTTCTTTTATTTGACTAGATAGAATGTTTGCTTCCCCTGACGATTGTGAAGGAAACAAGTATGATAGTTTAAATTCATAACTATCAGTTATTAGCAGAAATATTTAACAGGTCTCACAAAATAGCTATAATTTTGCTAAAATCACGTCGGATTCATGTGAACCCTATTCAAAATCATTGTTGCTACTAAAACTTTACTTTGAAATCCGTAAGTAAGCGGAAATGCGCTAAAATCGTTCTATTAGTTCTAAAAAAATATACCCAGTTTGGCAAAATTGACGTAATGGATGATTTTATACGAGGTTAATCAACTTAAATCATATCAGAACGGTATAACTTAACATAAGAACTGTTAACGAAAGTTACAGCTGTGAACATTGAGCTTTGGTTACTCCGATGTTAAGTTCGCTCAAATTGCTTGAATCCTCAAACGTATGACAGAGCTATTCAACTGCCACGAACTAAACGAGCGAATAGAAGCAAACCTCAAAACACCTCAGCAAATTCATTACAAACAGTTTTAGTTTAATTTTATCCAAAATATATACAGTTCACTCTCTATGAGCGTGTAATTACTAATTACTAATATTTACACATTGCATAGCAACAATTTGTTGAAATATTGCATAGCAATAACATTAGAGATCTGAACTGTTTACATGAATGATATTTATTATATCTTTACATTTACCGGCCCCGTCCCCCCGTTTTGAGGCCCCGTCCCCCCGTTTTGATCGATTCTCAGCCCAAAATATTGAAACTAAATTCTAAAATTAATTCTCTTTTTTGAAAAATTATTTTTTTCTGATTTCTAACAACTGAGGTTAGATATTTTATTGGTGAAAAAAATTGAAACACTATCTTAAATTTTACCGCTTGCCCAGAATTACTCAATACCCACCCATTTGCCGTTTTATTTTGGATAAGATTATTTGTGTCAAGAATGTACTTAAGTCACTGTGCCAGGACTATTTACGGATCGTTTGCCCTGTTACCGCTAACAGAGTAATGCCTAGTGTCCTATTTCTTCGCTCTATTTTAAGACTCTGGCACGGTAAGTAAAACACAAACTTAGCAAGTCATCCCGTTACCGTTACCATGGTAGCTAAAAGGTTAATTCGATTAGTAACCATGGCAACGGGTACGAATCTCCAAAAGTTCAAAACACGAGGAATAATGAAGTTTTGTACACCAGCAAAAGAACAGATTTGGGGAAGAAGTTCCAAAGGAAACAGTCAGAAAAGTAAATAGAAATAAAATTGTTTACTTAGAAAGCTTTTGCAATTAATAAACCAGTTTGAGGTGGTATAGAAACATCAATAAAATAAAGAATTTACAAAGTTTCTAAAAAGGACCGGCATTAACAATTAATGCGTAACGACTGTTAAAAGTAAACAACTGAAAATTGAAGCGACCGCTTCGACGAAAAGTTATCAAAAATAAATTAAAGATGCATTGAAATCGGAATCAAAGTAATGAAATTAATATTGCATAAATTACTAGAAAACGAAATACGCATCAAAAATTTAGATAACTGTAAAGAAATAAACCAAGACGAATCTAGGTCAAGGTACAGAGGTCTGTACAGAAAAGAAAACTAACAAAAAAGTAGCGTTACAGCAGGGAGAAAACAATCGCTGAAATTGAACTGAAATACAAAACTTCATTTTTCACCACATCTCCAATTTTTGTCTGATTCACATAATCTCACCTTACTCACCGAGCTCATGCAGACTTGGCAGGCTTCCAAAAACTCTTCTTGCCATAAGGCGCATGTGCTCGAGGAGTGAGGTGAAAACTTTACAATAATCACCGTTTCATCACAATCAAAGTTATTATAAACTAGCTAGTATCAACTTGGTAGAACGTTTGAACTTACAGTTGTAGAGGGGTGAGTTTAGAGAATATCAACAGTGAACAATTTGGTAACTCAGTGCCGTAGTTTCCATGCAATGGTCACTGAACATCGGCGCTAGAGATAGTTATATTCATATAATATTAACGGCGTTCACTTGGCTCTGTTAACTTAGTAACAAGGACTGAGAGCAGGAGCTAAAGAGATTGAGGTACTAAATACTCTTATCTGGGATCAATCTAATCAATTTGACATGAAAATAGTTTTAATGGCGAGAAAAATGGAACAATTATCCTCTTTACTCGTCGTAAAAACCAACTGGCGTGACATTTTAAGCAACGAGATAAACAAATGACAGTTAGGGGTCACAAAAGGACACAGCCATAGCGGTGAAGCTGATAAACAACAAAATAAGACCTTCTTATTCACAATTGAGTATTTTTGTGCCGTAGTTTGTTTAGAAGGGGATGGTAGTTCCTGTGTGGGGGGGGGGGGGCTTCCTGTGACTGGTAATTTCAGTGTATTTGTCAGGTACTTAGGTACTGGTTTGGGTAAAGTAGTAGTTTTAGTCGAATAGTCATAGCGAGAATCTTAATTTAACTTTTGTTTGAAGCCCTACAAACGGACGTGAACTGAAACATATCCTCCACATTGCACTCATCTCCTACACTAACAATAGTTGCGCGCTTCTACTTGAGAGTACTAACAAGGCACGACTCCTCAGAAGTGGGATTCGAACCCACGCCCACATGAAGTGGAACAGATTGGTAATCTGACGCTTTAACCACTCAGCCATCCTGAATTGGAACCATGCCAATTATAGGACCCCCAAGTGAAGTTTACCCCTATCAGTGGCATAGGAGGCAAGTGCACTATGATGGGTCTGTTTCAGTTTAATCCGTATAGAACAAGACCAAATTGAGGACCAAATTGAGGACCAAATTGAGGTCCTGGTTATATCTAATTGATTATGGTTGTTCTCTTTTGACATATCAGTAGCAGACAACTGTGATAACAGTAGTTATTTTTATTTATTTCTAAACACCAGACATTTGCAGAATTAGAGGTTTGTCGGGTATTACAGCTATTACCCGGTTGCAATAAACCACAAAATTGCTGACACAATCAAAGTGCAGGACCATATCACATTCGTGAACCAGATTTTTAATTTGGCGGTCTTTCTGACCACGATCATGCCTACAAATGGTGACTCATTGTAACCAAGATAAACGCTGTATCATAGGCACATCGGTATCATTTTTGGTTGTACTATTGGGGGAGGGGAGGAGGAAACCATGTACTACTTTATCTGAAATGGCCAGCTCAAGAACTATCAAACTTTCAAAAGGACTCTCCGTGACGTGTTTCAAACTACTTCACAAAAATACTCCACTGTGTTTACCACCCCCACCACTCGACCACACCCCATCATAACCTCTCTAACAGGATACCTTCCCGGACTGTCGTATCCTGACCACATCGTCCGGACTCGGCGTGTTGAATAAGAATCTCTCCGGATCCACATCCGGATTACGGATAAGATCCAATGTCACTGGTTTGATCTCACAGATGAGTCTCCCCAAGACTGACGGAGCTGGTTTAAGCAACACTGATGATGCTGTGCTCCGATTACTGAATGGGTTCATGTATCCCTCTCGCGTCTGAAAAGTCTGTTGTTGTCGAGGGTTGTTTTCCTTTTTTACCGGAACTGTTACCGGCTGTACTGAATGCGATGACCACTTGTTAGGGTTTATAAGCGCTGGTTTCGCTGATCTGATTGAAGGGCGACTTTTAATCAAATCGTCTATATCCTCCTCGTTATCACTGAGTGAGCCAATACCACTGTCATGTTGGTGATCCAGCAGAGCATCAGGCTCTACTTCATCTATATCTGATTCAGAAGAGGAGCTCTCTGAGTCAATAATTGGCAGAGAAGTAGACCCATTAGAGCTAGGAGGACCATCAATAACGGTATCACTATCGCTTTCACTTAAATCTTTGTTTGGAAACGCAGAAAATGCAGAATTTCCAGATACCATCTCATCAGCATCCTCTGATTCACTTTCACTTTCACTATCATCCGACATGTCATGAAGGAAATCGTCTAGAAAGTCTCCACATTTGCTGTCGTAGCCAGAGTCTAAAGAGCTACTAACAGAGTCAACTGAACCACTGTCGGACCCGATACGACTCTTATCAGCAGGTTCTGGCAGGAGTTTTAAATCGTCACAACTATCCACCATATCACAAACACCCGGACAAGCAGGCCCAGCCGGTATTACCGAAATCTCAGGGACTCTCGGCTCCGGCAGATTACTGTGCCGTTTACTTTTCGGCAGAGTAATCTCACTTTTAGTGTCTACAACCACCTTTGACCTTGACGGTGGACTGATTATAACATCGTCAGTAAAGATGGGTTGGCAAGGCATGGGCTTGTAGTTGGGGTTTGGAGCAAATGAACTAACCGAGGAAGATTGAGCAGGCTTTTCTTTCTCTGTCTTCTCGACTGGGTTCTGGGTATATCTCAAACCTGTAGAAGGGTATAATAGATAACTGATGGAATGTTTTTTATCTTGGTGAAGATAAAAAACATTCCATAATTTAACATTCCAATAATTAAATATATTAGGAAGTGTAGCTTCGAGTTGAAAAATACCAGATAAGATATAACTCTCTATCTTAAAACTGGAATTTAGCACTCTCAAATTACATAATTTAATCTGTTTTCTTAGAAATTTAATCTGTCTGCTTACCTGGACTACTCTTGTCATGATAAGTAATTGAGTCCATGGAAGAGGTCTTGAGATCCAGTCGGAGAAGGTCACAAGAAGGTGCCAGAGTTGGGGTGGTAAGTGCCGGGTCCAGGGGTTCCACGTACCGGACAGGCTCTTTGTAGAAATCACATTCCGAGGTTGCTGTCTTGCTGTTCTCACGAATAAAGTTCCCTCGAATCAGGAATTCCTGATATGATTTGAGTGCAGTTTCTGCTTTTCCGTTTTAGTTAATTTAATTTAGATAAAATAAAATAACTAAATTTTCAATTGTCAGTATTTTTCAGAAGAGTGCTCTTGGGCAAGGATATAAAAAGTAAGGTGTCTTATATAGCAGTCTTCTGAAAAATACTGAAAATTGAAAATTTAGTTATTTTATTTAATTTAAATTAAATTAACTAAAACGGAAAAGCAGAAAAACGGAAACCGTACCTGCTTTCCAAGTGACTGCTCAGCTTTATAGTTTGAACAAGAAGGTGAATGGAAATGCCCAAACTCGTGCTTCGTGAAGTTGTTCCGTCTACAGTTGGGAAGGTGATTCTCTGTTATCTCTACTTTAGCGAAACGTACTCTTTTGTTTATCTTCTTCCTCTTGAACATCTTAGTTGCTGCTTCCTGAACAGATGGGGTTTATTAGAACCTGAATTTTAATACCAAGAGATGGTTTATAGTTGATAATAGCTTAGCATGGAAAATACAGCTATAAAAGAGATGGTTTATAGTTTATAATAGCTTAGCATGGAAAATACAGCTATATAAAAGAGTCTAAAATCGTAAAAATACTGACAATTGAAAATTTAGTTATTTTATTTAATTAAAATAAAAGAGTTTTAAATCGTACCTGGTTAAGAAAAGGGTTTTCCGATAAGAGATCAGGAATGTGAAAAGCCCGCTGCAAAACCTCAACAAGTCCGAACTTTGGAAGGACTACATTGGTAGCTCCGGCAGTTGGAGTCTGTGAGGGAGCCGGTCGCTTGCCAGATTTTGGCATGACGGTTTCTTTCTGGGGGCCCCCTGATTTCACTGTTCCCTTGCACGAGCTCATAACTCTGTCTAAACTCAGTCCCTGATAATGCAATGGTTAGTGATCAGGTAAACAGAGGGGGCGTAGAAGATTAAAGAGGTGCAGTGAGAAACAAGAAGATATGTTTTCTGAAGCTGAAATTCCCATGTTTGTAACTTTATGGCGATGTGAAGAGTGCTTGCCGTTTTGTGGTTTGACAGATATAATTATATCAATAAACATAAGTATATGAAGAACGTATTGATAATAATATATCAATAGAAACATTAGCTCACAAAATATTGAAAGGGCCAAACATTCCTTTTGCACGGACAGCCAAACACTGGTACTATTAGCCCCAAAACTACGAAAGGACCACAAAATGTGGTGGATCCTCATGTCTTACCACAAGGATTAAACAATATTTTATATGTTTATTTAATATTCGTGGACTTCATTATTTCTTTTATCTGTTACATCATCAAATCTTTACCAGAACACCGTGAAGCTTTTCAGATAATTTCGCTCTATTTAGGACAAATAAACTTTAATCAAATAATGCAAAACCAATCAGCAAAATTAGAGTAGAGCGCTTGCAAACTAATTTACTTGATAAATGTGATTAGATAGGCTACCATAAACCGAACACACAGCAGCACAAAGTGCCCACCGCCACCAAAAAGTGTGGAAATTTAAATAAAACTTCACGGTGTTTCGTGAAAGAGTTATCTTACCCCGGGGGCTGACGACCCATAACGGGCTCGTCAGTTGGCCCGTCTTGCTGCTGAAAGGGATGGCTAGGAATAGGTTGATCTAGGAATAGGTTCTAGATATACCTTACCAGTTACCGTCTTCATTTCTCACAACTGAATACCAAACGACTATTAGTCACTATTATCTTTAACAGTTTGAACAGTATTAAACTCTGTTTGCGTCCTTTGCTTTGCGTTTAGATTTCCGGCCGTGGAATTGTGTTCATGTTTTTTCTTGTGGCGGCCTCCGAAATGTTTTCTATTTTTCCAAGACCAAAAACAATTAGAAGTTGTTGACTATTTTCCGGTTGAATAGTAGAACTCAGATCCAGAAGGGTTAGGGAGAAGTTTTAAGTCATGCGGTGAGTGAGAAAGAATTTTTGGAATGATCAACCAACATATTTTGTTTCCATTTCTCGTTATTTTCGCACTTACCTTGTTGCACTCTCATCAGAGCCCGACAAATTTTGTTAAAGCAGACCTAAGAAACTGCTAGCTCTTAGTGCATGACGCAGAGAAGATTGCGAGTGCAGAGTGTAAGCCATTACCGAGTGCGAGTGTTACTCAGCAAGCCATTATCGAGTGCAGGCCGGACCAAGTGTTGTCTTGATTACAACACGGTCCACAAAAACATGATGGCCTGCGGTGAGCAAATAATTTAGCAGTTCTCACGTTTTTAGACCCTAGTTAAAGCCCTAGACTACTCGCCATTTAGTCGCCCTGGGGCAGTACCCATTTTACCATATAATACCCGGCCCCCTTAACACCTCTCATTGGTACCGTAATGTATAGGACCTTAGCAAGGTGTTACATCATTTTATGTCCAGACTTCAAGTAACCCGCTGTGAAATTTTCCCCTTAAAAGTTTGGCAAATTTTAAGCCAAATTTAGAGAGTAATGTTGGACATGCAGTTTGCAGACTTTCCCACTATTTAATGTAATCAGAAGAAAGCTACTTGTAGGACAGTGCAGCATTCACAGGCACAGTCTAATTAGCAGTATCCGTAGCAAAACATCAGCAAAATCTAGAGCTTAACAATCAATTGAATAACAATTAGCAACACAACCAGAAGAAAGTAATTACTTTAAGAGAAAGTAAAACCCACAAGAATGCTTAACAAATACCGATACAGATTGTCATGGTCATCACCTCCCTTATTGCATTTAAACCACGTTCGAATAACAAGTTTTGAAAAATAGGCTGCGATATACAAGTTCAATACGAGAGATACACCCTGATCCCGTCCTCGAACCATGACAATCCGTTACGGATACTCTTCAACACAGCAACACCCGTTTAAATTAAGTAAAATAAATTTAACTTACTGTATCAAAATAATTTTCTTGGTTCCTATCCTTATCGTCTGTAAATTCACCTAGAAATAAAAAAACATGAAATGGGTGTGAAGACAGTTGGGAGGAGTCAGCTCATCCCCTCCGCTGGTGACGTGATGAAATTAGTCACGTGATGACATTAGTCACGTGATGACATTTGTCATCAATATTCCTGCCAGCCTATGTAACCAAGTGCGGACAAGTTATCAATAAGATCATGTGAGCTCGGACTCTAACATGATACAGCTGACGAACGCAAGAATAAAGACATGATGAGCTGATACAAATCGGAAAACATGGGATATGAGAAATTAATATTTTAATCTGACAGTCAAATTTAAAGAAAGCAATATCACGATTCCAGATGACGCACCCGTGAAAAGAGACGCAAAAGATCAAAATATGAAAATTCAAACTAAATGAAATGTTACCTGTCGATTCCTCAGTTACATCAAGCTTAGCCCATGTGTTCAAAAAGAAAGCTTGATCTCTCACCGAGTAATCGTAGTTAGTCCGCGAAGCTATATCTGAAAAAAGAAACATTAAGTAATATAATAATTACATGTACGTTGGTAAGTTAATAACAACGGGAAACGGGTGTTTGAAATATTAAAATAAAATAAGATTGACGTATAATGTTGGAAGTACTCACATCCAGTTGGCGGCATTTCTGATTTTCGGTCGAGGGTTACAAGGAGTTCAATATACAGTCGTTCGTGGCCATTTTTTATAACTTTTACTTGCTAGAGGTAATGTTAGTTATTTAAAAAACTTGATGATCCATAACAAACGTTGGTCAGAAACTTGAAGTAAAATTTCACATCAATTATGTCAAAATCGAAAGTTCTCCAAAGTCAAATTTCTTATCAACATTTCTAATCCAAGATAAGAGTCTGGGTATTATCTCTAGAAATATAAAACTGTCGTCATATAACAACAAATTTTTTGGCGAGCGATAATGACCCCTTTCCCCCTCGTAGATCTTAGATTCGCTAATTTATTGACTGTTTGTTAGTCTAGTTTGTTTTGTCAGTCGTAATTCTTTCGCTGGTCGGTCGCTTGAACTAATCTTTAATGGACACTAAAATTAAATCATCTGAAAATGGCTCTAACAGCGATAAAACCACTTTATAGGGTATTTTGCTGAAGTAAGATACCAGGAATCCATCACAGTTTTTAACAGAAATAATCGACTATCACATGCTGTAAAAGACACCACGGCGAACAGAAATAAGAGTAAATTAAGTGCCCTCCGAAATCGAATGTTAGTTTTTTGGCATGCGAAGAAAAAGAGCTCATGTGAGACTCAAACAGTTGTCATGGGGCTGAACTTATATAAAGGTATTTGATGTCACTCTGAAACCAACACACCAAACATGCGGGTTTTATTAGATTTTAACAAATTCAAAACAAAAACACACATTTTATGGTAAATGATGACCTTCTCTAGTAACAGATCTCATACGTTATTACGTATTATGCAGGTTGGACAAATTGAAAATCCAGATTCCAGGGGAAGTCAAACAGCGTCATAACTTGGCACTAGGGGTTAGGAAATCTAATTTTAAATATCAGCGATATTACTGGACCCGGTAAAGAAGGTTATAATTAGTAAAATGCACTTTCAAATGAACTGACCTTACTGGTTTCGTATTTCAGGTAAAATGTCCAAGAAATTAAAATATTATCAGTAAAACAGCAGTGGAACAGGATTAGCGAATCTCAGTCCTAAAATAAAGTAATGCCACGCCAAAGGTACGTCAAGCCCTGCATCCCGAGGTCGTGAATGTTAACTTGTTAAAGACTTCGTTCGGATTCTTCAAAATGCGACCAGCATTATCTAGAACAGTTTACGTAAGTATTAAGTAACTTAATCTTTCGGAAACCAAGGAGACTTAAAATATGAGTTTAAACGGTCTTTTGTAAACACATAATGCGAGTTACTGACAAAGGCATAAACATGGTAATGGATCCTACAAATTAAGCCCAATTCTTAAACAACCGTTAAAAATGTTGTCCCAGGCAACACATGGCAAGACTCTGTATCCAAGGGGATTGTAATCGGTGGGGTAAGAATCAGATGATCCATTTGCCGGTGTGCAGCTTTAAATATAATACGATTCAGAAATGTAAGCGATGATCTCACGACCTCCCAGATAATCCGATAAATATTAAAATAGCGCAATATTATTGTGCAGCAAGCCTGATCATGTCCGATTGAAGGTAAGTTACACTTTCAGGGCCTAATCTCATAAAACCATGAGAAGATAATAGCCTCGAAAATTAAGATAAGCGAAATAAAAATTGGTAGAAACAGATCCCAAAAAGATAAGGCAAGTGTCAGGTTTAATGAATATGACTAGGCTGCTGTTCAGCAAGTGATGGTACGGGGTTTTAATATCCCAGCATCATTACAGAATATGGGATATTTAGTAATTCAATCGATCATTATGGTACACTTGTGTATGTTATGATTATTTATAAACTTGAGAGCATAATCCTGTAGTCACAAGATTAAAAAAAGACAACATATAAGGCTACATAACAGCATTAATAGGATGGAGGCAACGTATAGAACAAGAATAGAAAACTAGAAATCACCAGTCCAATATTGGTTCTGAGAAGATGATATCGTATTCCTACACCAATAGTTGAGGTCAGTTCTCCTACTCAGAATAGATCAGCCCTTACTCGGAATAGATCAGCAAACTGTCAGAGTTGCGTAACCACTAGCAATAAGAATTACGTAAACCTACCAGAGCTGAGTACAAGAAAAGGGCTGGGTCGAATTTAAATGGTCTCATTCTCATGTCATCGTGTAAAAAGGTCTCTAAATAACCCACTAAAGTAAACTAGCTAATCGCGTGTAATAATCGAGTTAAGCGCTGTAATTGGCCTGTCAATTGTCACGTATGATGTAACCCGTCCTGCGAGGCCAGTACAGTCGGTCCATGTCCACTGTGTCGGAAAGTTGCGTCATTTGTTGACAGGTGGGAAGCAGTTAAACTACAATGGATCTGAGCTGAACGTCATATTGTGTACAACATGTTAAATATACGTCAAAAAGATTCAACTGCCGCCATCAATTCAGCTCCAGTTTTTGCAGGGACTGAGTTTTGAACAAGTAATGGCTCGCACAGCAGAGTATAGGAACGACCGTGTGCGTGATGGGCGGTGGAATTTCTCAAGTACAATGCCACTTATGTGACACATTTCATCATGTTGGAATTTAAAGTTGGCTGAGTGCCAGTATAATATACTGGGACCCAGTATATACAGGAAGATTTCGTTATCATGTAATTTGCCGGGTAGCTAGTCATGAGACTATCGTCCTGTGTATCAGGAGGCCGGATGTGTTTGAACAGGAAAATTATAGTCCTGTTAATGCGGACGAGCTCAAGCTGAAAGTTTGCCAAGCTAGTATTCGACAAAGAATGTCGCATAGCGATCATATATTATGTCATCGTGTTCAATAATTAATTTAGAAAATTTTCACTGCCATTTGCATGGCAGAAGTTGGAAGTTTAGGTCGTTCCTATGATCAAGAGTTTCGATAATAACTCTTGCGACTATGCGAAACCATCGTATGAATTTAACCGGAAATTCATCAACATTTTTAATATCAAAATCGGAAAGGATAATAATTTAACCTCGAACCAGCCGGTAATGCGTGGTCGAGTTTGATCCTCGATCAAAACGAGGCCTCGTATATAAGATGTTACAAAGGTCTCTCATCATCTTTACACCAAGATGGCAACTTCAATTCTATGTAGATGTTATAACATAGTAGTCACGTGACGTCATCAAAATTTCACGTGACGTCATCCTCTACCGCGTGCTGAGACAGCCGCTCAATTTGAAGAGAAAGCCCTAGAAAAGGCGGACTAGCCTTCTGAACAGACTGCCTCACCACCAACCAACCACTTCAACACTTCACTGTCAAAATCTGCTGACGTCATCTCAAAACGTGACGTCATTGATTGGACACGTGACGTCACAGCGTCACGTGTCACGCAAATGGGTATCATGAACATATCCGCTGTTCACAAGTTTTTTACTAAAAATTGTAGAAAAATTGAACATTGCTTTGCCTTCAGGTTCAAAATGGATTTAGAAACGATGTGTAGCATGATCTTGAAGGCAAAGTTATGTTTTTAATGTTGTTTATAAACTTCATGAATATCGCCAAACTAACAAGAACTTTTCCAAACATAGAGGGACACAATTTTCTGAAACTTGGGATAATTAATCAATTAATTAAATTAAGTTAACAATGATTCTAGCTCGATATACACTACCATTGTCCAAAACAATTTGATTTCAACGTCGGGATCTAGCTTAATCTAAATCAACTATAAATTAATCTTTGAAAACTCAAAGCCTAAAATTTACCAATCCTCAATTTCACCGTATAGCACTAAAAGGCAGCCTATTTTTCGAATGAAACATTGAAAGGCTGTTTCTAAATTTTTCTAAAAAGCACTTAAATCTTGGTATCTGTTCCAAGCGATCATGATCAAGATTTTCCGCTTTTCCCGAACAGGAATTGAATATATTCACCCGACCTTGAACAGAACATGTTACAAAATTACACACATTATCTTTATAATATGACAAAACCACGGGTATGGTAGCCACATTAATGACGTAAGAGTGATATAAATACACATGCACAAAAATGAGTGGAACTTCCCGCCATCAGTATGATTCAGAAATAATGCTTCTATTTCGTCTAAAAAGGTAAGCTATTCCTACCCCTATCAAGTAGCTAAAGTTATGCTGTATTAATTTTCGTAGTTTGCGAAATAGAGACGTTATTTTTGAATCACACTGTTTTGAGCCTTGTGAGTCGTGGACCCGCGATGGTACAATCATACGGAACATTACACAATCGCGGGGTTTACTAACGAAGTCTTATATCATTGATATGAGAAGCAGCTGAGGCCAGCTTTTGGGTTTTGCATTTTAATATCTGATCAAGTGACTCGCAGGGCAAAATGACGAGAGCTCCCAAAAATATACCTTCCCAAAACGTCGAGAGCTCAGAGCAGCAAAACCCCGAAAATACGAGGGGACCTTAATATCTATAATCGATTTTTACCATCACTAAATGAACGGTAACAATGAACTTTTCGAGTCCCCAACAATATCGGATGGGTCTACCTTCACTGCTCTGAGCTCTGCAAATACTCCTAAAAACTGGGTTGACATTAACTCCCATGTAACGTGTCAGAGAATAAAAATGTTCCGCAAATTAACGGCACGTGCACGCGATATACTTTGAAAAATACGTGTACATTTACCTTGTAAAGCCGAGCGGTGTGAATCGTAGGCCGTAATTTCAAGCATCTATTTTAAAGTCATTTTAAAACATTGGAACAATATAACTAGCTCAATTTAAGGACCAAAACGGTGGAAAGGACTTACAGCGCATAGCGCCATACTAAAATACTATATTGGGAAGCAAATTAACTAATGATACGTTGCAATGGCAACTAATGTAGTTGCCAGCAAAATTGGCTGCAACTTACATGTATTATAGGACCAGGACCTCCAAATTCGCAGAAGGGGTGGAAAGTTACTATAGTTACTAGAGTTACTCAGTATAGAGCGGCTAAAGGAGAAATAGTTTTTGAAGGGCAGTAATTTCCACCCCCTAGAGCAAATCGAATTTACAATCTGACGTAATTTCAAGTCTCTTCATCCGAGAAGGATGTTTATTTTAAGTTGTTTTTCTTCTTTTCCACATACCTTGTATTCTATTGGCTTGGCTGCTGATTTTGTAGTTCTTCAGATCTTCGCTCAGATTCAGTTCGACTCTGTAAGTACGACAGTTTAAAAAGCTAATAACATATGTTGAGCATATCCTATATATCTAAAAACAATGATTTAAACGGAAAGTAGCAAAATTTATTGTAAATTCGTGAGCGAGAAAACTGAAAGACACTAAATCATGTGACTAACCTGAATGATGTCCTGATCAGAGTTTATATACTTGTCAGTCTGGTACTCCGCCACGTACAGCCTCTTGTCTATTGCTTGTGGGATGGGTCGTATGTTCGTTCCCAGCTCCTGCTCGATCTTGTACAGATCGTATCTGGCGAAGAAGATGGATTGAGAAGAAAAGTAGATACAGGGGAAACAATAAGAGGACAAGTGTACAGTGTTAAACAGAGAACAATCCACAGTTCAAGATGAACAATTTTGAGCTGAAAAAGATTTTCTCTCATGAATGTAGACTGTGAGAGAGAGTGGAATCTTAAACAAAGACAAACATACCACAACTAATAAAGACAAATACTCGACCGAGACAGTGGTTAAACAGGGATTGTATTAACTCTGACGGTTGTACTAGGTTGTCAACAATGGCTGCCATTGGCTCTCCCTAAATCATAGCAATAAGATCACCACCCCCACAGCCAATAACAAGACTTCTAATTAATTATACGTGTCGTGTTAATTAATTATTTAAAGGTTACCTGTCTTGATAAGTAATGAGGTTGATAGCAACTCCGAGATGACCGTATCTGCCGGATCTACCAATTCTGTGAAGATAAGTCTCGGAGTTCTTGGGGAAGTCGAAGTTTATCACGACGTTGACGGAGGAGATGTCGATACCACGTGTGAACAAATCTGAACATTCACGCGGTTAGGGTTTAACAAAAGTGGTTTTGGAGTCAGGTTACAGTCGAATCATTGGATACCACAAACAAGGTGATCTCACAGAATAGTATATTTTAACAACTGTTGCACCGGTTCCAATGGCGCCGTGCAGCAAAAACCCCGTCCACGTTTCAACACTTCTATAATAGGGTAGTTAATACTTAATAGTCTATAGGGAGTAAATTTGGCGGCGTCCATTAGGGCTTTTCTTCAATTCAGACACCATTCAGATTATCCTATTACTACATTAATTTTATTGACAATTAATTTCCTTAGAAGGGATTGGCCTCTGTAAGTTAGCCAACCAGTTCAGCTTAGAGTAACGCTCGATGAAGTGCGTGAGCCCGTGTGAGCGGCAGTCAGCTGCCGATGGTTGTTAGTAGCTTACCAACCGATAACACTGATATTCAAAGACCAGCCAGAACGCCTCGATACGAACGGTGTGAGGACTAATTAATCTCGGAGATTACATGAGAATTAGATTCGGAGAACAAAACAAGGCGCTCAGTGAAACTTGTTGGGTGGCGGTCATGCTATAAGGGCTTTCGTGGGATGACGTATTAGGATTTAACTGGAATGATAGGATTACGTATTAAGATTCAACTGGAATGATAGGATTACCTCATACTGTTCATTTACCTCAAGCTTGCGAGCCCATGTACACTGCACTGGAATGGCAAGCAAGGTTTCCGGAAGTAAGCCGGTACTTTATCTAGAGCAAAATAGGCGCGCGCACGGAACGCGCACGAAATAAAGCTGCTAGGATCGTGCTTTGTATGGGAGCAACAGAAAATTGAGCTAGTCAAATTGTTTATTTCGGCCGTTTGTGACCCATACTATGTCATACAGTATGTTATTTGATCATCGATTAAACCAGCTAAACCGTTATATCTACCGTAATGCATGTGTATATATAAGAATATCTATTATTCGATGTACACCTGTCTTCACACATTAGAAACAAAAGCCAAATTGTGCAACTCTCAAACTCTGTTAAGAGGGTTGCGCAAGAATAACATTAGCGCATTCGTCAGAAATGATTAGCGTGCTACGCCTTTGTTCAAGTTGTCGTACGAATAACCACAAAGAATAAGCACATAGTGAAGTAATATATCACAGTGGGGCGAGGGCATCTGTTATACTAACACTATATACGGGTAACGTAGGTTTCCCTTCAATGTAGTTAACTAAACTTACAAGATTTTACATAATAATTAATACTAGATGTGAAATCTTTATAAAGCTTTTAGGTAAAGTTTGGGCAAGTTTAATGTTGAGATATATATTCAGATCACACAAATTCCTCTTACCAGTACAAACAAGATTCCTGCAGGCTCCTTTTCTAAAGTCGTGGAATATTCTGTTCCTGTGTGCTTGCTGCATCCTAGCGTGTATGTAGTAGCACGAGTATCCCAGCTCTGTGATCTTCTTAGCCAACAGTTCAACTCGGCTTACAGAGTTACAGAAGATTATACTCTGGTTTATTTGCAGCTGAAAAGGGATGAGGTAAGTCAGAGTTTTGGCGATAATTGAAGTGATAATTTGGATAAATATTTCGTTAATTTAGCTAAATAGTTTGTTAACAAGAAAATGTTTTATCAGATGAGGTCATACTTTCCTTAATTTAGTCGGATGAGGTCATGTGAACTTAGCTAGTCATAATTTAGCTATTTCAAGCACTGTTTGAGACAGCCAAAACACAACAGAGCTCTATTACTTTATCACATGATATTATGCCTTATATAGATCTTAAGATAAGAATTAGGTCAATATGATGAATTAGTTCTTTAAATGCTATTTAAAGATAGAAATACCCAAGCGCGCATCCAGAAAGTTTTAATTTTCCTCGCGGATCAAAGTTTTCTGGATGCGGGGCAAAGGAACTAGATTCTTACAATAAATCATCACATTTAACTGAGATCACTGATATAAGATGTTCTTACAAAAAAAACGAAACTACCAGCTTTTGCATACGTATAACTGCTCAACTAAAATATTAATCTATTCCAATAAGTAATAACTGGCACCGGCCTAATACGGACATTTCCACCTCACACACACAACTAACTATGGTTTTATTTCACACATCGTCTTATTTAACACTCGTCACAACTTATTGCTATATCCAGCAGTGTATGAGACAGCCACAACTTATTGCTATATCCAGCAGTGTATGAGACAGCCACAACTTATTGCTATATCCAGCAGTGTATGAGACAGCCACAACTTATTGCTATATCCAGCAGTGTTATGAGACAGCCACAACTTATTGCTATATCCAGCAGTGTATCAGACAGCCACAACTTATTGCTATATCCAGCAGTGTATGAGACAGCCACAACTTATTGCTATATCCAGCAGTGTATGAGACAGCCACAACTTATTGCTATATCCAGCAGTGTATGAGACAGCCACAACTTATTGCTATATCCAGCAGTGTATGAGACAGCCACAACTTATTGCTATATCCAGCAGTGTTATGAGACAGCCACAACTTATTACTATATCCAGCAGTGTATCAGACAGCCACAACTTATTGCTATATCCAGCAGTGTTATGAGACAGCCACAACTTATTGCTATATCCAGCAGTGTATCAGACAGCCACAACTTATCGCTATATCCAGCAGTGTATGAGACAGCCACAACTTATTGCTATATCCAGCAGTGTATGAGACAGCCACAACTTATTGCTATATCCAGCAGTGTATGAGACAGCCACAACTTATTGCTATATCCAGCAGTGTATGAGACAGCCACAACATGATAGAGCTCTAGCTATTACTTTGTCACACTCGCCACAACTTATTGCTATATCCAGCAGTGTATGAGACAGCCACAACTTATTGCTATATCCAGCAGTGTTATCAGACAGCCACAACACAATAGAGCTCTAGCTATTACTTTGTCACACGATATAAATCTAAAGATAAGAATGAGATCATCATCAGAATCAGTTATAATGTTACTCGTCAAGCAATGTTGTATAAAGTAATACTACCAGAGTCACATGTTATATAAAGTATTACTACCAGAGTCACGTGTCCACTACTAAGAGATGAATAAGAATGGCGTGTCTAGAAACAAAACAATCAACTAAAATGAGGTAAACATCGTGTTTACCTCATTTTAACATGTATTTAATTAGATTCTAGGTGGTTACAGGCGCGCTGATTGTATTGTAACGAGCATGCAATTATGAAGCAATTTTAAAATTACGGTGACCTTATCTTGAAAATTACTTGGCAACGTGTTGCTCCGGAAAATGGTTTGAATTTGAGTTGAAGACTTGAGAATATAACTTACTTGAACAGGATTTCATGAAGTAGCTGGGGTAAGTTAAGGGTATGTTAGCGTGCGCCACATGTCTGGTTTGGGGCGCCATTTTATCCCGGGCTGAATATGTGGCTCTGCAGTTCCTGGGCAGTGGCCCCTCTCATTTACCACATTTGAAGATGGACACATCTATCTACTAGGAAACTTAATTGAATAAAAAAGTACGGTAAAGCGAATGGCATGGAGTTCAAACGTGATCAGTAGGATCTTTCATCTTATTGGTTGCCAGCTGTCATGTGTTAAAACAAATAAATCCATTTCGCAGGAACCGTTTTATTAAATCAGACAGGAATATTATTTATACAGCTGGTACACCTGGTGCAGTGTAACTACGTAATATACCGGGGCGTAACTTTACGAGGAAACGTGTAACAATTGTACGGACACAACCAAAGAACCACACACAATAGTGTCGCTGTCTGTAGGGGATGTTTTTGTAACACGTGATTAATCTCTAATAGTTAGCATATGCTAAAATAAACTGCCGTCACGTGTACAAAGGTTAAAAACAAAAATAAGGCAACCACAACCACCGTGCGGACAGCCAAATTCCTTTTCAAACACGAAAATATTAGAATTAGATAACGGAAGGTAGGTCCATACGAAAATAACCCAACCCAATTCAATCATCCGCAGGAATGTATATATCGCTACGTCAATTGGAATGCGGGACATAATTGAGATGCCAACACCCGCAAGTAGAGTTTAACGTGCAGTAACGTTGAAGGGGTAGACATGCCCAGTTGTATTTCATTAATGTGGTAAATGAACCCTTGGGAGGGTTGGCACAGCGCCAAGGATTGGCACAGCGCCAACACAGTACTGAGATTAGTGATCAATTAAGCAGTGGGAGAAGGGTTATATTCTGAACTAGAAGTGTTATAAAAGTGTATAGCCAATTAGAAATACCTTTAAAGGAGAAGAACTTGAATATTTCAATATCAACACATTTAAATGAGATCACCGATATCAGATAGATATACCTACAATGAACAAAACTACCAGCTTCTGCATACGTACAACTGTTATATTAGCCTACTCCAATACCTGGCACTGGTCCAATACGGACATTTTCACCTTACACAGCAAGAATACACATGACTACCATCTCAAAATACTATTTCACACTGGAGATACGGTAACCAATATTATCGGACTAGAGAAACGTACAGAGAAGAGAGAAGTTTTTATGAAGGAGCAGAGCGAGATATATACGTGATATCAATGAAACCTAAGCAAATTAAACCAGAAGGTAAAATGAGACAGAACTGGATGTCAGCTAAAAGCCGTACTGATATAGTGATGACAGGTGTCACCTTCACTAACAACGTCCAGCGCTGAAGTTAGCTTACCAGTCCTTCCCTTTAAAACTCCTTATAAGGGCATGGCGCGAAGTTGGCGATAAAAATAGTTTAAATATATAGAGCAGGTGAGATATATGATATACAAAGTACAAGGTTGGTAATTAATCTGCGCGACGAGCTCAACAATATCGAATTATCACAAGGTTACGTCAAATAAATCAGGTATTTCGCTAGAACACTGTTCTATTCCAGAGCGTCACGTAATTTATCTCAAGAACTTTCTAAGGTTATCTTCTAGATAACATTTGAAAGTGCGTCACTGTATTGTTCTGGAAACAATGGCAATTCGTCTCACCCAAACCAGGAAATGTAATAAGCATAATATTCACAACCCAACCTCAGTAATATTCAAATCATTAAAATACCAAGAGCTATCTTTTATAACAAAACACACAACAGTAAAATCCGCAATAATATATAAAGCCACATCATTGAGTGAGTGTCTCGGAAAGAGAGAGATAGTGAGTGTCTCGTGACTTGGACTAATGTTAACATTGTGTACAACAGAGTCATAGTTAATTAGCTAATCAGAAAGGAAGGAGTGTAATGAACAACAATGAACATTACATCTCCTCTTGTAACAAAGAGCCTGTACTTGACAGTGTTCATTAATCTGCGCGACAGTGCGACTGCCAGTCAAAACGGGTACCTGCTGATGCTGTATAAGAGATACTGCCAAACTGCCAGTCAAATTACCAGTTAATGCAGATATATAATATGCCTTTGCTAAAAATAACTTAGATCGTCCGCGTCGATTGAAACAGTACGGGAAAAGATGGTCACAGAGTCCGGTTCTCATAATAATAGAACGTGAATGAGCACGAAACTAGAGACCACGTGATCGGTGAGGGAACACGTGATAACATATCGAATCAATGATCTAATAGACCAGCTGGCTAACACTAAACTCCACAGTAACCACACTGAGCGACGGCCTGCTCCCAGAATAGAAGATTGGTCATTAACACACTCAAGGGACTGACTCTTACATCACTGTTAAGATAACATTTCCTGCATGGGAAATACCCAAATAACAGAAAACAAATATAGGTCACGCGAGAAAATGGAAGGTCCGGGTGATTTAATTCTCTCGCCTAGGAAACGAGGTGACATTACACAAAATATTTACATATTCGCATATGATATATAATATATATGAATTTTGCATAATATTCAAACTAATGCAGGATAATGAGAAACAGGAGCCCCGGAACAGTCTCCATACAGGGCTGCTGTACGAGAGTTCTGGTTATAATGAACTTAGCAACTGGCTGTGTGCCAAGACAATAACCCTCGGAGTTCAAACATAATTCAAATAACAAAAGAGAGAGAGAGAGAGAGAGAGAGAGAGAGAGAGAGAGAGAGAGAGGGAGAGAGAGAGAGAGAGAGAGAGAGAGGGAGTTGGCTGCTGGAGACCCCTCAATACGAGAGCTAGAGCTTTTGTCTTACTCTTAACATGAGCTATAATTATAACTGTGTATAAATGAACATTGAGTAACACGCGGTGTGTAAGTTAAGATATCTCTTGGTGTGCATGTGGTCAGATAAGGATTTAAAATATGTACTTTATCACGTCTTTACTCGTTACCTTGGTATTTGGTAGGAATGCAGTGTAGAAACAGTGATGGTATCGTTATCAATATATTAAGATTAAAATACCGGTTAGTCTTAAGGGAGCCCTGCAATCAGTATATTTTAAGTTCCTATTATTTTCTTACGACCATGATCTACAATGTTTTCAAATAATCTAAGCGCATCGCCATCATGCGCTGCTGGGAGAACATAGAACACACATTTCACCTGGCCTATTTAATTTAACCTTGCTCTTTTTACGGTGATTTCATTTCAACTTGTTATACGCGTGCAATCTTATGTTTTGTTTGGTGCAGCGAAGTCTCAATTCTTAAATAGCTTGAATTAATAAGAATCAATTTAATTTAGCAAAAATATAACATCACTTACCTTCACACAACAAAAATAATTATGAAAACATTGGTAATTTTAAAACTAAACAGTACACACCTTGGAGAAAAGAGTGTTGAGACAATGGACTTTCTGCTTCTCCTCAACATAGGCGTAATACTGTGTAATACCAAGTAGTGTTAACTCGTCCATAAGGTTTATCTCGTAAGGTTTAGAGAGATGACGTTCCTGTAATTTAAATTAGTTAATTAATTAATTAATAATATTTTAATCAGTCGATTAGTATAATACATCATGTATTTAATTCTGGGGGGGGGGGGGGGGGGGGGGGGGGGGGGGCCAACCATATTAAAGTATATTAAAGTATATCCCCGGGTCAAAATCGGAAAAAATCCTAAATTTTAATATACTTTAATATACCTACAATTAGAAGATTTATATTCTTCGTTAAGATTTACATGATGAACTATATTTTTCACTCAGATTCGCAAGATAAGCCTGTTTTAGGACTAGTACATGAATTTCCATCCAGATTGGTCAAAAATTGGCTGAGCTATGAGCTTTAAAAAGTATGCCCATATTTGGGCATACGCTTTTGCCCAAATTCGCTTTTGACCAAATTCGATAAAATTTCAATATTTTTTAATGAGACTAACTCTATGTGAAAGATATAACTCAGTGTTTGTTGAATATAGTGGATTAGTACAGACAGATCCGTCTGAAAAAATCGATCTGCTGACACTCAAAGCTTTCAGAGGATTTTTGAAGTTTTTGAGTCCCATTAGGTGCCCTTTATGGCTGACCAACTTTTCCAAACTTTTCCACTTGTCTTAAGGCCACTTTTTGCCACTTTACCACTTTTTACCACCTTTCTTGTTTGTCGAATATCTTTAGTTGTGAACATCGTAAAAGGTTACGAATCAATCGAGTGTGTTCATATTACCATGAAGAAAAACTTTTGTTCTAACAATTTTTACGTCAGATAATCAGTTAATTGGATAATTATCAATTAGCTAATTAGCAAAATTCGAAAAAATTTTTATCTGCTCAAAATGATCGGAATAGCTTAAAACACGGAAAAAAGTAGTTTTTAGAAAAACTTTGAAAATTTTTCACTTACATTTTTTTTCCGAGACTTGAAAAATTTCGAAAATTCAAAATATTTTTTCCCGCCAAAAGTGATCAAATTGCATGAAACGCGGAGAAAAATGCTTTTCAAAAAAACTTAGTGAATTTTTCGTTTCAAGAATACTTAAATCACCAATATTTGTAGTTGGAGTTCAGTAAATCGCGGCAGATTTTAGTAATCAGGAATTACTAAGTGGAAAGGTCTGAAACTGAAAAACGTTAACCATACGATATAAGAGTTTCATAACTAATTACAATACAGCCTTATCGATTTTCACAGAAACTGCACCAATGGCACAGTCAAGATCGAAAGACGAAACGATAGCCTGCTGTACTATCATTTTATTGATTTCAATGATAAATCAGTGGGGTTAAGATAATCACATTTGTAATAAATAAAACCTCTCTGTACCGTCAATTGTGCTAATCTAAACCGGCCTACCTGGATTACCAGACCTCTTCTTTTCCTCAACAATCAAACCAAGTTGTTCATATCGCATTTGGTGGGCGATGTAAGTGCATATCGAGCTGTATTCAATCACAATACGACACAATACGTGTATATTATATTATGGCCCTTAATGAGGTTTATGAAACGCTTAATACCGTGAAAAACCCGGTATGGAGAGGTTTTACAGTTTATCACGAAAACGTATACTTGGCCTCATGGCTCATTTACAGTTCGAAGAAGGCAAGAACAGACCAGGGAAACTAAGGAACAGCCAGGTCCAGGAAGCAAGTGTAAACACACCTTCCAACATCTACTGTGACTTGTTTTGTATTGTACCCGCATAATATACTGCTTCATTTGCTATGCGGGATAAAATCACCCCCATATGTCAGGGTCGGCTGAAAGTAAAATCAACAAGGGTAACATACAGGCAAGGATAATATTTAGATACGAGCGTCGAGCAAGGGGTGGTACTGGTAAAGAACCGATAATAATTCATTCAGTGAAATGTTCCACGAGAGTCAGGATATTTTGGAAATTGCTAATAGAGACAGATCCTGATCAGGAAGCTGAAGACGATTTACACAAGTATTTTGAAAGCTCCTGCTAATAAAATCTTTCGTATCACTTATATGTTTTAAATATCCCCCTCCAGGCTGATCAGGAAGGATTGTTAATGTTATTGAGGATGTTGATTTGAAATCCAGACGTTGTGAAGTAAAAATACAGGTTCTTTCCGCACGATATTCGGGGCCCATGATAATCAGCTCGGGATTAATGTGGGACAGATCGAAATTCGAAGAGCATTGAAAAGAGCGAGTTGACATTTTAAGCTTTCTGGTCTTTTCTTGCCTTCTTTGAGCTGTCAAAGAGTCATGAGCCAAGTAGACGTTTTCGTGATAAACTGTAAAACCTCTCCATACCGGGCCTCTCACGGGAGAAACGAGAAGTGTACGATATAGAATTAGAACGTTTCATAAACCTCATTAAGGGCCATAATATAATATACACGTATTGTGTCGTATTGTGATTGATTACAGCTCGATATGTACTTACATCGCCCACCAAATGCGATATGAACAACTTGGTTTGATTGTTGAGGAAAAGAAGAGGTCTGGTAATCCAGGTAGGCCGGTTTAGATTAGCACAATTGACGGTACAGAGAGGTTTTATTTATTACAAATGTGATTATCTTAACCCCACTGATTTATCATTGAAATCAATAAAATGATAGTACAGCAGGCTATCGTTTCGTCTTTCGATCTTGACTGTGCCATTGGTGCAGTTTCTGTGAAAATCGATAAGGCTGTATTGTAATTAGTTATGAAACTCTTATATCGTATGGTTAACGTTTTTCAGTTTCAGACCTTTCCACTTAGTAATTCCTGATTACTAAAATCTGCCGCGATTTACTGAACTCCAACTACAAATATTGGTGATTTAAGTATTCTTGAAACGAAAAATTCACTAAGTTTTTTTGAAAAGCATTTTTCTCCGCGTTTCATGCAATTTGATCACTTTTGGCGGGAAAAAATATTTTGAATTTTCGAAATTTTTCAAGTCTCGGAAAAAAAATGTAAGTGAAAAATTTTCAAAGTTTTTCTAAAAACTACTTTTTTCCGTGTTTTAAGCTATTCCGATCATTTTGAGCAGATAAAAATTTTTTCGAATTTTGCTAATTAGCTAATTGATAATTATCCAATTAACTGATTATCTGACGTAAAAATTGTTAGAACAAAAGTTTTTCTTCATGGTAATATGAACACACTCGATTGATTCGTAACCTTTTACGATGTTCACAACTAAAGATATTCGACAAACAAGAAAGGTGGTAAAAAGTGGTAAAGTGGCAAAAAGTGGCCTTAAGACAAGTGGAAAAGTTTGGAAAAGTTGGTCAGCCATAAAGGGCACCTAATGGGACTCAAAAACTTCAAAAATCCTCTGAAAGCTTTGAGTGTCAGCAGATCGATTTTTTCAGACGGATCTGTCTGTACTAGATACTAAGTAAAAAGACCTCCATGAACAAAATTGGGAAAATTGCACATAATATCTCGGTTCGGAATACTAGCCAAAATGACTTCATTAAAATTGAAATAACTCCATCAGTTTTCAATATTTTTTCAAGAACTTTTTGGAATAGATTAAGAATTGCATTTCAAGCTTATTTTGGGCAACAATTTTTGAAGTAGGCCTCCAAGGAGATAGGGATATTAAAGTATATTGTAGGTATATTAAAGTATATTAAAGTATATCCCCGGGTCAAAATCGGGAAAAATCCTACATTTTAATATACTTTAATATGGTTGGCCCCAATTCTACCTATAATATTATAATCTTTTAATGTTACTCGTTTAATGTTGAATGGAAATTACTGATACTTTGATTATGAACAATTGTGCCAATGACAATGCGACTTATAGGTAAGAGTCACTCTGAGTCGGTGGATCACATGTGTCGAGTGATTCTCCTCTCAGCTATTTGAGCATAAAACCACGACGAGTTACAGTGTAGCTGTAAATACCTTAAATTCCTTGACAGTGACGGGGAATGTAGCGCTGAATAACATTATCTGACGTTTGATAGGTAGGTAGGAGATTATTGTGTCGAGACAGTTCTTGAAATCCATTGACAGTAGCTTGTCTGCCTGGGGGTTTCATATGTTAAAACTAGAAAATTACTTTAATTGACTGTAATAATCAATGATCACACATCGACTGCTGTTATTCGTTAATTTTCAGAACGTAATAAATATAATGTTTGATGCTGCTGGTTTTAGGATAGTATGCATATGTTTTCCCTTCTCCGCTCAGTTTGCAATTGACGTTAAACACAACAAAAGCCGCGAAGTTCTGATCAATTAAACATAAAGTTTACAACTTCAATTAATATACATACTTCATCGAGCACAAGCATTCCACAATTCTTTACAACAGCTACTTTACGTTCAATGAGATCGAGTATTCTACCGGGGGTTGCGACTACCACGTGGACTGAAAAACAGGGTAATTATTAATTAATTAGATGATTAATTAATCAATTAGATAATTAATTAATCGATTATACAATGATTGGTTAATAGATTGGTTAACTAAGGTTGATCGATAAAGCAGTGATAATTGAAATTTTGTTGCTGGATCTTACATAAAGTTATTATTCTTACAGTATCAGGACATGGAATGTGATAGCGGACATAGCATATTATATATATATATATTATATTATATATTATATATCATATTATATATATACATATATAATAGTCTTATCAGACTATATCTAGACTATATAGTCTGATATATATAGACTGATATATTGTTGTTGTTTGGGAAACCAAACAACAGCTATTTATTATATATAGACTATATAGACTATATATAGTCTTATCAGAAACTTGCTTTCTGCAGAAATTGCATTTTCATCTTTTGTTTAACACAAAAAGGAATGTAAAGTAATATAATTCATAAATTCCAAAAATAAAACAACTGTACCTGACCAAACATCAACACATTTTACATCCGCGACTTTAATGAGAGCTCAACCTTGACCTTACATACAATAATTCTTGAAATACTAAAATCTTAAGGTGTTGTGCCACGAAAAAAAAAACAATTTAACGGATCGCCAATTAAATAAATGTCAATAGACTAAAAATAAAAATAAACAGTAAACTCACCAGGGTTATAAAGTCTAAGAATATCGTCCCTGAGATTAGTTCCGCCGGTGCTGACCATTACTTGTACCTTGATATGTTTTCCGAGTTCCTTACACAGTTGGGATGTTTGCAGGGCCAGTTCTCTTGTAGGTACTATAACTAGGGCTGAAGTTTCGGGGGTTAATAATTTTATTGATGAAATCATTCATTAGAGCAGTATCTGTTTTACTTTTCTACTGGTTTATATCAAGCGTGGAAGTAAATTTACTTCTGTTAATTTGTCTATTATATTCTATAAATTAGCATCACGAGGTTTTATTTCTCTGTATTGCGAAAGAGTGCAACAGAAAACTGAGGCATTGATCACAAGACTGAAGACATTAAAAACGTAACAGACTCAATGCAAGAAAATAATAAATATAGATCAACTGTAAGTACTCAGCTGTCAGTAACAACAGCTGTAAGTACAACTGTAAGTACTCAAAGCAAGATTTAAGGACACACCCACCTTGAATTTCATTCAGATTAATCTTAACTCTCTCAATGATGGGGATCAGATAGGCTGCCGTCTTTCCAGTACCGTTTTTAGCTCGCGCCAAAATGTCGCGACCTGACGTAAAGAGATTATTGAGATATTCTTTTAACATTCACTAAGTGTAGCTACATCTCTATACGGTATGAGAAAAATAAAGATATCAGAATCGAGCTGATGAAAATACTAATGTTGGAAATATGATGAATGTGACCTGGGCATGATAAATAAAACAAACAACAAAGTATTTGCCTGCTAGTGCTATAGGAATACTCTCTTCTTGAATCGGAGAAGGTTTCTCGTAGCCCTTCTCATAAATACCCATCTGTAAATCACGGTTCAGGCAGAAATCCTCAAACTCATTCCCTTTCGTGCTTGTCACATCCTGCAAGATATGGTGGTAAATAAGTGTGTTAAGAACTTTAAATGCAGATAACGATAGCACCCTCATTTGGTGGATAGTGTCCATACGATCATAGCATGAACGATATCAGGTTGATTTTACTAACGGAGGTTTTGAAGCGATGATCTTTCTCTGGTAGGTTAAGGTTATCTTTCCAGTTGTGGTTGTCTCCATTTAGAGCGGCTGGAGGATGCTGCTGCTTGTTGGGGGCGGATTTGTGGTCCATAATAGCTAAATTGAAGGTGGTTAAGTGCAGAAGTTCACATGGTAAATGTTTAGTAATCGATATCAGTTAATTATTTAAAACAATCCATTTATGTTTTATATTTTGAGTGACCGTACAAAATTATAGACTAGTGTACGTGACCAATGTCGTTGTTTAGGTTTGTAGGTCAGTCTGTGAAGTGATATACGCAGATTTTTTCCGTTCACACTCTTTTGTAAAAAGGCAATAGTGAAAGGTTACGAACGCGAATGGACGTTTTTGCAGAAAAACGTGGATTTTGGAGATAGTGGTATGATGGGTTTGAATATGGTGTCATTCCTTCCATCTGTTACCATGACAACTAGACAATTAGGCGCGCGACGTGTGCAAGGGTTGCTTGCGGAGATGTGATGTGTAGCCAATAATCAGTGTATGCGCGGCGCGAGTGTATTTTAATGTATTACTATTAGGGAAGAAGCCCAATTTGTATGTGACATGCGTAGTATATATATATAGTGTACTGATGTTTACAATTATAAAACATGAGTATAGTTCACTTTTTGCTTACAATTTCTTAAATTACAGATAAAAATTAAGTTCTACGGCAATTGAATTGAATCAGTACAGTCACAAGTGTTTCCCTATTTAAAACATAATTTTTATAATATGAAGTGAGCTGATTTGTGATTAGAGCTTGTAGTTGAAGTGAATGGAAATCTAGCGTCCGCCACAACGAAACAACGGGCGCAATTCTTGTTAGTGTATCTGTTGTGTGGGGGGGGGGTGTGTGTATTCCACATACTTCCAGACGCTTTAAAACACAATCAAATTCGTTGGAGTAGGGGTATTTAAGTGGGCCATTGTTAGCCCCAAGCGTTTTGGTCCCTCATTCCTGCCACTCAGCATTGCATACTTAACTGTAAAGTAGAAATTTTTCTAAGACAATAGAGAAACTGACCCTGTCCGTCCCACTAAATTCCCCTAAATTCAACCACTTACCATAATAAAAATACTAACAACCAAATAAAGTTTTTTAAATAATGAACATTTCCTCAAGTTTACTAATTCGTGGTTTTCCTCAAGTTTACTAATTCGTGGTTTAAGCTCTTATTTTATTTATGATTAAAGGAATGTAAAATAAAACATTTCGTTTAAATTAAAAAAAGTAATTATCACGTTGTGGTGACAATTGATATAATAAGTTGTATAATGTATTGGTGTGAAGTTTGATTACTTTCAACATTTCTAGAAGACAATGGTATTGAGTTTCTACAAAGAAGTGGCTTGCTAGATTCATGTTTATTGAAGTCTGTTAAGTGCCCAATTTTTGAGATCTTATTGAGCGAGCTCTGGAACATGTTGAGAACTTAATCACCGAATAGTGCACATCTTTGGCTATTTAAATATAGGTTCTAGTCTGTTGTTTGATAAGCCTCCCCACACCGAAATCGACTTCACATTTTAATATAGAAGCAAGATAAGTGTGGCGATTAGATTTGGACCGTTCTGTGAATATGCTTATACGTTTTTGGTATATGAATAAGCTGTGGGATTATCAAAGTAAGCTTTACCAATGTACTTTTTATGCTGATTTCGAACGAGCGTGCTAAATCACTCTACAGTCGATCTTCGAGATTTTTCTAAAAGGCCCCCCGACAGTTGAGACCAACTTCATTTGATGTATTTTCGGACGCTGATTCCGAATCACCCCCCATGACATAGGGTTAAAATGCTCCCCTAGCGAGATATTGGCGAAAAACTGTCTCGATCACGTGATATGACCATATACGGAAGTAAGTCTAATTTCTCGTTAGGGTTAGGGTTTCAGCATATGCTTTTGTTAGAGATTGGGTTAGGGTTAGGGTTGGGATCAGATTATAGGGCTATGATTTCGAATAGTCATTCAGGGCCACCAAAAGAACGTGTTTAAAAAGTCACGCGACAGTCGAGTGTAGAGTGATTAATCATCATCCGATTTCGAATAAGACCTATTACTTATACTCCAGTAGCAGGGAGGGGTTGAGTGTGCACTTCGATGTATAGAGTTTTTTGCTACTGAATCGGGTTAAATAGGTCATTGGTAACTCAAATCACCGAGGGGCGCATTTTGTATCGCTAGTCCCAGTCCTACAGGGCGAAATTTCTAAATTGCCCTCAGGCGAAAATTTGGGATTTTTGTATCTCGGCTTCTAAAAGACTTAGAGATTTGAATATTGGCTTAAAATAACCGCAATAGCCTTATTTATATACAAGTTATGAAGCAATCTAAGGTCTCAAGTGCCTAGTTTTAAAGATATTCACGAAAAACCGTTTTTTGGCTCATCGCAGCCTGAAATACCGGATTATTTTTTATCTCGAGCTAGAAAGGTCGTAGAAACTTCTCCTCTATTGAAAAATATGCGCAATGAGCACATTTATATAAGACTTATGAATCATTATATGCTCTAAAATGCTTATTTGTTGAGATATTAGCAAAAATCAGTCATTTTGGTTACACCAATACAAATTTGGTAATTCATTTTGTCTTTTTGTTGCAAATATTCACGTTGCAATTTTCAAGATGCGGTTTGTTGCTATCGATAGGGCTTTATATGCTATTGCATGGTTTTGATACAATCCTTCAGCACCTGACATAGGCAATAGGGGTCACAAACCCTGAAATGTCAGGAACTGGGCAGTGGCCGAGATAAATATTTGATAATTACTTGACTCTTGACTCACATACATCTTTTCAACGGTTAGTTAAACATCTTAAACCAGTATTGAACGTTAAGTAAAACTTCTGATCCATTTGTAGCTCAGGTGATGTGCCCCAAAACCTCACGCCTGAGTGACAGTGGGCCTTATCGATCATGAGCAGCAAATCACAATGACTTTGGGCCTCAGAGACAAGGGCATTCGTACTCTTGGCTTAAATTGGTTCTTCGTTATTATCATCGATCAGGTTTCTAACTTCTATATCATCTGCCTGTCCAGTGTCCATCCGTCTCTTTGAGATTCATTATTACTTCAAGTTCAGCCATTTCGCTTCTGTTCAACTGTAGGCGTAATGAGGGACTTCAGTCCAGCAATAAAGTCAATATCTCTAGATTTAGCAATATCTGGTTACGCTACTTTTAAGGTAATTGTGTTCAGCAAGCAAGTTTGTAAGTTTTCAGTCGTACTGCCCCAAAGTATTGGCCCCCAGGGCACCAGTAATGCTGGAGCACTGGTAATGCACATGGTAATTATGCTGATTTTTTGCTTAACATAGCTCATTTTTAAGTTCCTTTTTCAGCAGTCTTCCCTATCATACTGGCAAAAAACAGATTCACCTCCTTTATCTCTAATATAATCTTGAACCTGGGCTATACAGGTTATCGAATGTCCTCCAACCTCGTGCCCCAATTATTGTCAGCCCCAGGACCTCTGGCACCTGCAACTTTGGGTCCCAAAACTTGAAGAACTTCGGGCCCAACGATACCTGTCCTTCAGTGACTCTGTGCCCCACATAATTCTAATTGATGACTCAATGTAAATTGTAAATGCTAAGATGGACATTCGATAACCTGTAGAGCTCAGGTTCAAGATTATATTTAGAGATAAAGGAGGTGAATCTGTTTTTATTGCCAGTATGATAGGGAAGACTGCTGAAAAAGGAACTTAAAAATGAGCTATGTTAGCATAATTACCATGTGCATTAGTATTACCAGTGCTCCAGCATTACTGGTGCCCTGGGGGCCAATACTTTGGGGCAGTACGACTGAAAACTTACAAACTTGCTTGCTGAACACAATTACCTTAAAAGTAGCGAAACCAGATATTGCTAAATCTAGAGATATTGACTTTATCGCTGGACTGAAGTCCCTCATTACGCCTACAGTTGAACAGAAGCGAAATGGCTGAACTTGAAGTAATAATGAATCTCAAAGAGACGGATGGACACTGGACAGGCAGATGATATAGAAGTTAGAAACCTGATCGATGATAATAACGAAGAACCAATTTAAGCCAAGAGTACGAATGCCCTTCTCTCTGAGGCCCAAAGTCATTGTGATTTGCTGCTCATGATCGATAAGGCCCACTGTCACTCAGGCGTGAGGTTTTGGGGCACATCACCTGAGCTACAAATGGATCAAAAGTTTTACTCAACGTTCAATACTATAAAATTATTCAAACAATATACACATAATATAGCAATGACCCTATATAAAAACAAACCTTTAAGAATATAAAAAATTCCCTAAACACTCAAAAATTACCCTTGGCCTTGTGGCTCCAAGTTAAGATCTAGACTGTTTATATTAACAATGTTTTTTCTCGCACCTCTGTCTCCACGGAGAGAAATCACTGTTGTTCTTAACGTTCAATACTGGTTTAAGATGTCTAACTAACCGTTGAAAAGATGTATGTCAGTCAAGAGTCCAAGTAATTATCAAATATTTATCTCGGCCACTGCCCAGTTCCTGACATTTCAGGGTTTGTGACCCCTATTGCCTATGTCAGGTGCTGAAGGATTGTATCAAAACCATGCAATAGCATATAAAGTCCTATCGATAGCAACAAACCGCATCTTGAAAATTGCAACGTGAATATTTGCAACAAAAAGACAAAATTAATTACCAAATTTGTATTGGTGTAAACAAAATGACTGATTTTTGCTAATATCTCTACAAATAAGCATTTTAGAGCATATAATGATTCATAAGTCTTATATAAATGTGCTAATTGCGCATATTTTTCAATATAGGAGAAGTTTCTACAATCTTTCTAGCTCGAGATAAAAAATAATCCGGTATTTCAGGCTGCGATGAGCCAAAAAACGGTTTTTCGTGAATATCTTTAAAACTAGGCACTTGAGACCTTAGATTGCTCCATAACTTGTATATAAATAAGGCTATTGCGGTTATTTTAAGCCAATATTCAAATCTCTAAGTCTTTTAGAAGCCGAGATACAAAAATCCCAAATTTTCGCCTGAGGGCAATTTAGAAATTTCGCCCTGTAGGACTGGGACTAGCGATACAAAATGCGCCCCTCGGTGATTTGAG